TGAGATATATATATATATATATATATATATATATATATATATATATATATATATATATATATATATATATATATATATATCTGTGTGTGTATGTGTGGGTGGGTGGGTGGGTGGGTGTGGGTGTGTGGGTGTGGGTGTGGGTGTCTGTAGCCGGTACCCGATAGCCGATTATTTCCAACAGGCACAGACGTGAATTCTTCATACTGTCAGGTGATGAACGCCATGTGGGGATCTTGGCTGTGATTTCTGGGGAGGGGGGTTGCGTGCGTCAAGAATGATGCTATTTGTACTGAAATGAGGCTTGGATCATCCAAAAGCAGTTTGGAATTCAAACATAAAGTCTATGCAGTGAACATAAAGAATAGCTCGGCATTTCTACAATGAAAATCGGTGAAATAATCATTGGGTTCGCATGTACATTGCTAGATTGCGGTTGGTATTATGTGACGTGTTTTTAATTGACCTATGTGCATTTGATCATAAAAGGTACGCTTACATAAGTTATGCTTGTCACATATTCGCCTCTGTCATCTCATATATGGCAAACAAAGATAGATAAATAAACACACCCAGAATAATCAGTAGAACCACCGGGGAGGGGAGATATATCCGCAATCTCACAAATGAGATTTTGCTTGCCACGGGAATGCACGTGTTTTCTAGCTCCCACGCCGAAATTACCACTTCCCTTCCGGCCGTATCCCCCAAATTTCAGTTGGCCTCTCGAACCCTGATAACTCCTCGTAGGGAGGGGGTTACGCCCAGGCCTAAGACTGCACCAAACGGCATAAAAAGTGTAGCCCATGGTCACAGCGGTTATCCAACAAATGCTGAAAGCTTATGCTAAGTTTGGCATCAACATACACATAAGGCAAAATCCAGCAATGGCATTAACACGCGCCCGGGTGGCCGCCTACACACCCCTCGCTCGGGTTACGGGGCAATTTGACCTCTTCTGAGATCTCGGGAACTAAGAGAGCTGGAAACCCCAAATTGTCAAGGTGTGTTGAGGTGTACGTGAACTCACTCAGGTCAAAGTTTCACGTTTCTAGGTCACAGCCTTCGGGTAAAAAAAGGTCAAACAAGGTCAAGGTCCAAGTTTGTCTCCAAACTACCTCCAAGAACCTACATAACCGTTTCTAAGCGAAAGGTGACATTCTCATTCAAGGTAAGTGGCCTTGTTTGACCTTTTGAAGGTCAAGGTGACCAAAATCATACAAGATTGCTTTGAGTTTTGTATTTGACTAAGCGACAAAAATTACGCTAAACAGTATATTCCTAAACAAAACGTTGACCTGGGTCATTTTAAGTCAACGGTCTATTTTCACCTCTAAGAAGTCTACGAAAGATGCATAATGTTGTTCCTACTGTCAATAAACTCGAAATGAGCACCAGAACCTATGCCATACAGCAAGCCCTAGAGTAACAAAACAGTTTGGTTTTGACCTTGGTGTGACCTTCATACCTGATCTTAGGTCAACGTAATTTGCTCATTCAACTGTTGTGTTGCCTGAGAGAGCATTTCAGAGATCTATGGCTTCGTCTGACACTCCGTTGTTGGATCAGATTGAAGAATTCCCTAGAAATTGCCTTCGCTGAAACCATGATCTAACTTTGGCCTGCCATAGAACAGTGACCTTACAAGGTACACCTCAAGTTTTGATGCCAGACGATCCGCTATTCAATTGTCTTCAGATTATCAACATTTGGCGCGGCTACGCCACGCCGTTCGGAAACCATTCTGGAAAACCTTCGCGAGGGGTCAATTTGACCCCCACCCGAGCGCGTGTTAAAGCTCTTTCCAGCTTGCAGCACACTCACAATTTTGCAGCCACACAGATGTCGGTTGCGACGAGAAACACAGCGACATAAACGCAGGTTAGGCATCTGTCTGGGTGCCACCTACACACGCTACCACTTACGTATCAGACCATGGGTCAAGGTGATAGAGTTGAGACATACACAAGCATGGACTTTCATCCCCCTTCCCAGCTACTAAGCAATCAGTGCAAATTGCGCAAAATGACCCCAGAAGTCGGCGCGCCCTAAAACCCCAATCATCATCATACTGAGCAATCACAATCATTGTGGTAACAGCCGATGAACTTGTGACTCAAGTTTTTTTGACATCGGGAGATTCGGTTCCCATGAAGGAGAAACCAAAATCATGCGGTGCTCAACATAAAAGCCAATAAATAATTGTTCCTTGAACGAACGCCAAAAATGTTTTACTCAAAATGTGCAAACATGTCGCAGGCTCAAATGAAAATCCTAGGCGTTAAATGATAGTGTAAATGCTTTAAAAATCAAAGTGGCATCGGCATCAGCTGGAAAGCGCGTGTTTACTTTTCGAGTTACTCCTGCAAGATATGCCTGAGAAAGAAAAGGAAGTGACCATAAACTGAGCCTAAGGTAGTTTTGAATCACGAAAATAATCGTTTTTCGTACTTATGTAAGCTTTTGTAATACGCAAGTCCACAAGCAAAGAAACTTACTTTAATTGTTTATTTGCAGCAGTCCTGGTTGAAGTGAAAACACCTTTTTACATCATAGAGGAATATTACATGTACTGTGTAGGCGCTGACTGTAGACCGCGTTCACGGGACCCCGGCC